TTTTTTTGTCATCATTAGGTGTCTGATCCATTTTTCTTCGTCCACTGTGAAAATTGGTTGACTTACTCATATTGGAACGAGAAGGCTAGACGTACAGAGATTGCTGTTATCGAACTTTATGAGGGTTTAACACAGACCAGTGAATTGGCTTTTAGTTCACTGACTCCGGTTGTGCCACCTGTAGTCAATGCTGTATCTCAAGCGTATATATTTCCTCAGGGAATTTCTGCTATGGGAGTAACGGACACTGGTGCGCGGTAGTTTTTGTTTTTTTATAACAATTATTTTCTGATCATTTTTTTAAACAGATAGTGTCTTTTTTAGAGCAAGGACTCTCCACACGTTCAATCTTGATTGCAATGCCTTTTGGCGGTTTGTATGGTATATCTAAACGCATGCTTGATGCACGTAGGCCTCTAGAAATGACTCCGGAATATGCGGAAGAGATGCTTATTCCATACAGACCGGAAATTCCTATTGTGTCGGAAGACTTTATCAATTATAATCAAACGGTTCTTAATGTGCGTGCGATTAAAACCGCGTGAGTTTTCATCATTTATTGAGAAAGCGTGCTTTTGAGTAGATTTTGGGTTTGAAGAGTTAGAGTAGTTTAAAAAATCTTTAGGCCGTCTGGTTTGGAGTCTACAAGTTTGATATTTGCTTATGGCCTCGACTTGTTCTTTTCTCGAATGACGCCCTCAGGAACGTTCGATATACTGAAGGATGACTTCGACCACAAATTGATTAGCCTCGTACTGTTAGGGCTTGTTGTTGGAAGCTTTATTTGTAAAAAAATTGGTCGAAGTCATACGCTGAAACAGTCTTGGCAGTAATCTTTTTACATCTGCACTAGTAATTGCTTTGATAACTTCTGTGGTGTATTCATTATGAGTGCTTCTGTTGGTTGTAAAGGTTTTTATTTTACACGTTGAAATTTCAAACTCAGCTACCGTAGAGCTAAAAAATAAAAGTACATTACATTTTTCGGTGACCTACAGCTTTTTTTAATAGGTAGCAGAACAAGAATCTTTTTGTTGTTAGCTTTCCTTCAGGTCGAAAAAATGTCTTCTTGATCGTCGTGATTCTTCGGTGCTGCTTCCCGAATCTAAATGACGATCTAAAATCAATTTTACATAAGTTATCATTTTTTGCAGCCGTCTTTCGTTACTGCTGAATGCAGTTTTTTCCTATGTATATTTTTGTTTGCTTAGTTTTTAATTTGTTACCTGTTAATATCTGTTTTAGAAGCTGAGCTAGTCCTTTTGGTTTTAAGTAGATTTAGTACTTTTAAGGGCGGCTTCAGTTTAGCTAAAAATAAATGGTAGTTGATTTCTGTGTTCTAGTTTTAAGTGGTGCGTGAATGTTTTGATGTGTTTTTCAATTATTAAGCGACTAAAGAAGAGGTAGAATTTGTATTATTGGCATAACTTTTTTTTTGATGATATTGTGATGTCACTGTATCACTTTTTTCTGCTCCTTCAAATGTCTATGAAGATGTGTGGTTTGACGGAAAGAATACTTGCTCTTTTATGCGTACCACTGTTATACAGAGAATTTATTCTAATTATTTAGTTTTTTCGATTGTTCCTATTATCCTTTAGTGACCAAGTCTGTTGTATTGCTTAAGTTGTTCGTTTTTTCGTCTGAACAGGACAGTACCACTTACGATGGTCCTAGGTTGTTGTTGAAAAATTTTGACTGAAGATGAATTTTAATGTCTGCACAGTTGTTGTCTGGTACGAATGATTTTATTCATTTTGAAAGTCGTTTTTGTTTGTTTTTATTTTAAGTTCTACTACCTCATAAACGATGGTGAGACAGTATCACTATTGAGACTTTAGCTGACGTTTGATATTCGAAGTATGATGCTCGAGTAAACAACGTTTTATTACATTAGGGTATAACTATTAAATCGTTTCGTCGCTGGTCAGAACTGTGTCGTATGTAGAGAACTGGAGACCGATACGTCAGTTTAGCAAATCTAGAAAGTGCAAGCGAACGTCGGTATGACTGGTTGGTGCTGTATTCTTCCGCTGGCTCTTCGTTGAAGGACCGAGTTACGTTTTCACAAACCTATGTAGAAGACTGATGAAAATTGCGCGGCTTAGGGACCTGAGTCTAAGCTAGCGACGTTTTTGTCTCAGTAGATGCCATCCTGTTGTTTTTTATTCGTTACTCTTTGTAGTATGGCGGTGAATATATGATGTACAAGTAAAGTGTACAGTAGGGTTCTGTACAGTCGTTGAAGATGGAGGTTCAGAAATCTTCCTGTTGGTTCCGCTGTGGCTTTTACCGGTTGCTGGAAATTTTTGT